TGAAACCACATGAGACGAACTCGGATCGTCTAGTTACAACATCGACGATCTCAAAACAGCTCCGTGTTTCGAATCTCTCACTCACTCGCACTCTCTCGCTCAAATGTAAACAAATGGCTGAGGTTATTGGAATTTGGAAAACCATCCAAGAACCATGAGACAAGGGGCGTCGTTGCTAACAAAGGGGCTTCTGACCGCACGAATGGCATGTAAGTTACGAAACATCGGGGAGGAGGGAATCCCGAGGCCGGTGGGAGACGAGGCCAGATAGGAGACGTAACGATTGATTTTCTTTTACATTTTTTTTCTAATGTTATATTAGGTATGTTGCAGATGTGTTAAAACGAAGCAGCTGTACTTAATAAATCTAAATTAACTAAAACCAGAAAAGTTGCAAAGTACCGTAGACAAGTCTTGGATTAAGTTGAGGATTTGTGTAAAAGTCGGTTTTATTTTCCGGATTAGTCTGAGGGTGGTAATATATATGTCTGTCTTAAATATGTATACATATATGCACACAGGTGTGCGTGTGTTCATTTGTTCTGTTTTTAATTATATGCGCATTGCTGCATTTAGGAGATACGCATATATGCACATATATACCCATTTCTGTTTACATGTGTTCTCGGTAGACGTTTTATTTCTTCTGAAGATAAAGTTCGACTCTCCGTTGATTCAACAATTTGCAACAATTCAGCGCAAAAGACATTAGTCATGGAGCGAGGGAATGCTCTTGAACTCCCGCCTCCATTTATTTAAACCGGTTTTAAGCCTGCAGAATTAGTTATCAAGGTTGCAGTAACTCAGCATCAGAAACCTGTGACTGGCCTGCATTCACCTCATTAAATTTTCGTTTCACCTTTGCGCCAGGCCAACCGTTACACAGTCAGTAGGTTTTCCGAATTCCATTTTTTTTACGCAAGTTATCCCCGCGCAGTCTGGTAATCCCGTTTTCCTCGGAATGGAGATTAGTTTCCTGAAACGACCCAATTCCATTTTGTATCCATCAGGGATTAAACGGTAATGAGATATAATTGAAAAGATATTGCGCCGCAGTGTTGCAACAAATTGATATTTAATCCTGTGAAGAGGTGACATGTGATCTCATGTTGCATTTTTTTTTCTGTATATTGTTTTTATTTTTTAGTATGTCACTGTCTAAGCGGTTTATACCGTAGTAGCTGGGACATTTGAGGATTTTAATATGAAGATATTAGTGGAAGCGATGTTATCGTGGGCGCGGTAACAATAATGTTAATTTGATGATGATTTTAATATTGCTTATTATACACGTATTAATATAATCACTTGACAAGTAAACAAGAACAAAAGTGCATTGCATTTTATCAACAGCGGCTAGAATGGCATTAGCATTCACAACCTGAATAGTCAGAGCGAACAATGAAATTTGTATTTTTATGATCGAAAAAAAAAGATTTGGAAATGGAAAGTTTTGCATATCTAGATGAAGATTACGCAAGGGAAAGAAAACATCAAAAAACAAAATTCAACAAATTATTTATTAACCGACCTGCCATCGTACCAAAAGTGGAGAAAAATTTGCATAAGCAGAAGGCCCAGGATGACGTCACAGAAAATTTTATGCCTCTCGGGAAAAATTGAAAGTAAACTGAATATGCGGTCACTTGTCTAGTCCGGCGTTAAGTTCATGTTGAGGCGAGTCGAGTACACAAGATACGTTTTAAAATGTATTTCTAAACGCCGCGAACCTGTTTTGTTTCACCAGGTCTGTTTGAACTCGGGCGCAATAGTTCGTTCAAATGTGAATGTTATCGAATGTGGGATCTTGTTTTTTTTTTCTCTCTTTGTTTTTAGTTTATTATGGAGATTAAGGTAACGTAAGCGAATTTGCGAAACGAATTGGATTATATGTATATTTATTTATTTATATATATATATATATGTGTGTGTGTGTGTGTGTGTGTGTGTGTGTGTTTACGTATATGTATGATATATGTATACATATGTGTGAGTGTATATATATATGTATTTATGTATGTGATGCATATGAACAACAATTAAAACACTGTAAAATTTACACATAAAATTAAACAATGGTACAATAGCTTTTATTCAGTTCGTACATAGCAATTATATATATATATATATATATATATATATATATATATATATATATATATATATATATATATATATATATATATATATATATTTTTTTTTTTTTTTTTTTTTTTTTTTTTTTTTTTTATGTATGTATGTATGTATGTATATGTATGTTTATGTGTATATGTATATGCACACACACACACATGAGGCCCGGCCACCCAGCGCACGTGTTTTCCAATCCTGCCCCATTGGTTCGAGATTAAAAGGAAAGGCATCTCCTCGGGGCAGCGGCCGCCACCTGCCAGAACCAAAGTCCTTCGAAAGGCGTTCTTAGCCCTTGTGAGGGACTTCGTGACGTAAATCCGAATCAATGTGTGTGTGTGTGTGTGTGTGTGTGTGTGTGTGTGTGTGTGTGTGTGTGTGTGTGTGTGTGTGTGTGTGTGTGTGTGTGTGTGTGTACATACACATACACATGTATATGCACATACAAATGTATTTATTTGTATATGTTTATGTATGTTTTGTGTGTGCATGTATCTATGTATGTGTGTATATACATTAGCATTTATAGGTAGATAACAGTATTAACTTGGTATTAGTAACAATGGAAGCATCGACAATAACAGTATCAGATTAGTAATAATAATAAATGTCAGTTCGGTCATCACGGCAAACGATATGCGAAAAAAAAACAAAAGTGATGACCGAAGAAGTGACTTGTAGAACATGTAACATTTTTTCTTGCTGTGACGCGGTTCACTGGACACGCAGCAGGTCAATAACAGGTATCATGGTCGTATTTTTTGAGCTTGGAAATACGCATTGTCGAATCTTCTTTGTTGTTTGTTTGTTAACACTAGATTCTGTTCGCTTTATTTCGCCTTATTCACAACGCGCTGTCAGGTTTAATCTTATCTTTGGCAGTTCTTAATAAATCGTGTTTCTTTTTTTTATTTACCCTTATCTTGTCAGTATAAGATTGATATATAGAACAACATTATCTCGATATTTTATTTCTTCGGTCTTTTCCCTCTTGCTAAATTTTACAAAGGTGACTTAATCCCTATAATCGAATCTCCATTTTCTTTATGAAGGTTAATGTTGTACTGTATACCAAACCAGTCTATTTCTTCGAGATTTAATTCTCACTGCTTAGCCATCCGAGAGCCTACATGCTCTTGCTTTGCTTTGTCACGATACTGATATAATACATTTCTTGTCTTAATGTAAGGTCGTGTTAAGAAACAGGCAAACCGGCCCTCTCGCTTGCTTGGTAGACATCTTGCATTCACGGCCGGTGAAGGTTGCATAGAAACGCCTGGACGCTTTTTTTTTTTTTTTTTTTTTTTTTTTTTTTTTTTTTTTTTTTTTTTTTTTTTTTTTTGAGGCCATGACATAGCATGTTTGGAGAAGGGGATGATCATTATCAATACTTATTTGGTTTATGCAGGTATTTCAGAAAAAAAAGGATTGTTTTAAAAATGTAAAAAAGTTACTAAGAATGTTAATGATTCCGTTCGCGGTTAGAGAAAAAAAAACACCCGTGTTTGTGTCATAATGAATACTTTGGCCGTTGGAGTAAACTGTTGATGCCTAGTGAATGTGCTCTTATGCATTATTCTGGATGAAATTGCTGGATGATTAGAGCTGAAAGTAAGATTTTAAGAGTTCGTTCTCTTTCATTTGGAACCAGAAATTGCATGTTTATTATACGTTCCAGTACGACCTTCGAATGCAGAGAAAACCAAAACAAAATTGGTCAAGAGCACTGGAACAAAACCAGTCGAAAGAAAAGTCTTAGCTTAGCGTCAGAAATGGGTGTAGACGATAGGGAATAAATATGTAATTCGGTGGAAATCTTCAGCGGTCGGGAAAGGATTCGAACGACCTCGTCCCGAACTTATTACCTAGGTACAGGATTTTGCATTTGTACAATGTCATCACCACTCGACCCATTTTCCTTATTTTCTACGACCTCTCCATTTTCTAATGAGGTGTGACTGTGCTTGATTTTGTGTGCGTTCCCGTTTCCCGCTTCACTTCCGTTATATAGGCTAAGGCCAGAATATTAGCTGGCAGACCTGAAAATGAAAATATATTTTTTCTGTTTTCCTTTTTCTTTATTTTCACGATTATTACACCGTTATGGAGCGGTTAATAGTATATTCGAAGTGGAGGAGAAAGTGAAAGACGTTACGAACAATAACTATGAGGAAATTGGATGAGAACCTTTGATATTTTCTTTTATTGTACTGTGGTAACGGCCGTTGTGGTTAAATCCATTTCTCTTTTTCTTATGGCTAACCTGTAAATATTATACAGGTCTTTCGCGGCAAGATTTAGAATGCAATTATGATGTAAAACCAATAGCATGACTAGGCTCATGTGGTAAACAAAAACTCGTTCGCATGAAAATGTTGAATTCGGTGTGGTTGTAGGTTAACGGCTCCGGTTCGTCGTACGCAGCTTGGTAATAAGGTTTTTGAGGACTGGTTTATTTGCGATGCCGAAAATTATTGTGGAAGCGATACTGATGATTATTTTTGGTGTTGCGATTTTTATGATCGGCTATTTTATTTTATAGTTTTCGTATTTATTGTTGATGATTGTATTATTTATATTTTCTCGTCACTGTTGTTATTCTCGTTGCTAATGTTATTACTACTCCTACTACTATTCCTACTATTACAACTACTACTACTACTACTACTACTTATGATAATAATAATAATAATAATAATAATACAGCAACTACTACTACCACTACTACTACTACTACTGTTAATATTATTATCATTTTTTTTTTAATATACACACAACGTTAATCGAATATCGGTCTCAGAACCACTCCCAATGCTTTGTTTTTTCTTTCTTCCCCAATTGACATTAACCTATTTTTCCTTCCATTCCAGGTGCCGAAAGAAGGAATGGAGAACCGAGCTGCCACAGACTTCAGTAATCATCACCTTTCATAATGAAGCCAGGTCGACCCTCCTGCGAACGGTGGTCAGGTGAGTTGCTCGAAACGTTTGAGATTCGGTTGAGGGATATCGTGGTTTGGCTGGGTGTTGGTGTTACTGTTTGTTGTAATTGGGTTGTGTTTTGTCTTTTTTTTTTTGTGATAGTAACGTTTGGGGATAACTGAATAGTTTGGGCTAGGCTGGGTGTTGGTGTTACTGTTTGTTGTAATTGGGTAGTGTTTTTTTGTGATAGTAACGTTTGGGGTTTTCTGTTTAGTTTGGGCTAGGCTGGGTGTTCTTAGAATTATTGGGTTTTGATGTTGCTGTTTGTTGCAATTGGGTAGTTTTTTTTTTCTTTCTTTCTTTTTTGTGATAGTAACGTTTGGGGATAACTGAATAGTTTGGGCTAGGCTGGGTGTTGATGTTACTGTTTGTTGTAATTGGGTAGTGTTTTTTTGTGATAGTAACGTTTTGGGATAACTGCATAGTTTAGGCTAGGCTGGGTGTTCTTAGAATAATTGGGTATTGATGTTGATGTTTGTTGTTATAGGGTAGCTTTTTTATATGTGTGTGTGATGAGAATAATGTTGGGTTATGTATTTAGTTTAGACTACAATATTTGTTTGTTGGTGGGATTATTATTGTTTTACTTTTCTCTTCACATAATTATACTTTATGATTCTCAATATCTTGTTCTTCGTTATTACTATCATCTACATAGTTATTCTCATCAATGTTATTACACTAGATTACTGTGTAGGAAAAGTAATTGTATTTTTTTTCATTTATATGTTATGCATGTAAGAAAATCTCGAGGGAAATAAATATAAATGAAGATTATGCGGGATAGGTGGAAGGAAAGACAGGAGAAAGGGCAAGGAGGGAAGAGAAGAATAAATGAAGGAGGAGGAGAGAAAGAAAAAGGGAGAAGCAGGAAAGAGGAAGAAAGGAAGGAGGTAGAGGATGGAGAAAAGCGAAACGAAGAGAGAAGGGAGAGATAGAAAGGGGAAAGGAAGGAAGAGGTAAAAAGAGAAGAAGAAGGAAGAAAGATGGAGGAAAGGACAAAAGAAAGAAAATGGGAAAAAACGAGGAAATAGAAGTGGAAACAAAGAAGAAAGGGGAATGGGGAAAGGGACAAGAAGGGAGACGTAGGAGAGAGAAGAGTCAGGGAAGGAGGAATAAAGGAAAGAAGAAAGAAAGAGAGGAGAAAAGGGAGAAGAAGGAAGAAGAGGCAAGAGAGGAATCAAGTTACGAAGAGGAAAGAGAACCGTACTTGAAGTTGATCGCTTACCGGTGGAGAAAATAAAATAAAATAAAACCAAAAGGAAAGAGCCAGTAGGGAAAAGGGAGACAGTATTAAAAAGACTAGAGAAAGAAGGAGGAGAGAAAGATGGGATCGCTATTTACAGTGATGGCACAGGGGCGTCGAGGTAATGGATATGGGCAAAAGAGGGGAGAGGGATAAAGGAATAAGAAGAAGCTCAGGGATGTGAATGGAGGGGAAAAGGGAAGAGGAAAGAGAGGAATCGGGAACTGATGGAGGGGGGGAGGGGAGGGAGGGGGAGTGGAAGATAGGGTGAGAACGACGAGGAGGCAAAAATAGAACGGAAGCAAAACAGAAAGATGAGAAGGAGGAGGAGGAGGAGGAGGATGGTGGTAATGTTGATGATAATGGATTAATGATAATAATTAGGATAATAATAATAAAGAGGATAACAATGATGATAGTAATAATGATAATGATAATAATAATAGTAGTAATAATAATGATGATGACAATAATAATAGTAGTAATAATAATGATGATGACAATAATAATAATGAAACTGATGATTATGATAATCCCAATGATATAATGATAACGGCAATGATAATGCTAATAAAACTTGAAATACAAAAATAAAGTAATAAGGAAAAAAACAAAAAAAATGGAAAACACGCCAGAAAGAAGAAAATCGAAAGTGAAACGACAGCCAATGCCTTTCCAACACTGACAGGAAAGTCGCCGTGATTGACCACGCCGCAATGCCGCAGGAAGGCAATGACACAGATTATAGGTAAACGGAAAGAGGAACAGGTTGTGATACATAGAAAGTTATTGACAGGGATTGTTTTTTTTTGGGGGGGGGAGTGTGATGGATGATGATGGTGAAAAGGGTGGTGATAGCAGTGCTTATGTCGAACGTGATAATGGTAATGACGGTGATAGAAATGATTTTAATCGTAGAAAAGATAGAGATGGAAAGAAAAGATAACTATGATCAGTTGGATGAAATGAGATTAAAAAAAAAATCTGCAATTATCAGTATCGGTCGTGAACATAGGCCTTTCATGCCTCGAAACATGTCAGATTCCTAATTAAACAGAAGTGTTTACGTCGCGTTTTTTCTTCAGCTTTTTGTGGCGCTTCATTATGCAGCGGCCGGAGTGGGATGTACTACAAAGAAAACGGTCTACGGTTTCTTGCATTTCTTTGGACTCGCGAAGTTTATGACGCGTGTTTGTGTTTTCGTTCTTCTTCCGTTTCTTTTCTATCATTTCCTTTATTTTTTCATGTCATTAGACCAGAAGAGCAAATAGAGTGTTAGCAGTTGCTATAATCTATTCGATTGTGTTCCCAATTAAATGCCTTTTAAGAATGTTTTCCAACACGTGAACACGACAGGAAAAACTGCTATGATAAGTAGCGGCCAACGTGACCACGTGACCACAATGGGCCCACTTGTACTGCGATCGTGGCTTTACAGCTGTCAACACAGCGATTATCAGCCTGGGATCACACGATTATGCTAGTAACCCATTATCAGCAGCAAAGGTTAGCAAAAGACTGGCGCTAGAGAAGCCTTTCTTTTTCTCTCCTTCTTCCTTTTCCTTTCGTTCGTTTGAATTACGTGTTTTGAGAAAGCATAATCGCGGTACGGGCTTGGGGGAGGGAGCGGGGGGAGGGGGGGAGGTGAAAAGCAGGAGCTCCGCCGTCACTACCGCTGCGCTTGGGGGCACCGAGCCAGCTGGTGTCTGCAGCTGCTGTTTGATCTCGGCGGCATTCAATAAGCTTTCGCGTCTTTGTGTGTAATTGCGTGCGGAGTGAAATGAATAATAGTTGAATTGCATGTGTTGACTCGCACTGTTATGGGCGTTTGTCAGAAAGAAGTTTAGAGGCAGTCGAGCTGTGATTTGGTTGACAAGCATACTGTGCGTGTTTGTTATTTATTGATTTTTCTTTTTCTTCTGCTTGGGGACTTAATGGATAGATTGGTAGGTGAATATATTAATAGATGGATACTCTCGCACACACACACACACACACACACACACACACACACACATATATATATATATATATATATATATATATATATATATATATATATATATATATGTGTGTGTGTGTAGTGTGTGTGTGTGTGTGTGTATATGAATAAATGTGTGTGTGTGTTGTATATGGTACATATATGTATATGTATATATATGGAGATTTATGATATGTAAATACACACACGTGTGTGTGTGTGCGTATGTATGTATTCTTGTTTGCATGTGTCGTATGATCATCTGTCTTTCAGTTTTATTGCTTAACTACTAACATTGACCTAAATAAGTCATTTACTTGTAAATTCGGACAGATTCGCGTGCTGAGCTTTGCATTTATTTCTATTGAGAGCGTATATTTATAGTATGATTGCCCATAATAAGTCCGGCGATAAACAAAGGTCAGTTTCGATGCCGTATATCCATCAGCGTTGATGTTTAGTTGAAGGTCGAGCCACCTCCCATCCATCTCTCTCTCTCTCTCTCTCTCTCTCTCTCTCTCTCTCTCTCTCTCTCTCGTTTTCTCACTTTCTCTCTTTCTTTCTTTATATATTTCTATCTATTTCTCTCTCTCTCTCTTTCTTTCTCTTTCTCTTTCTCTCCCTTTCTCTCTTTCTCTCTCTTTCTCTCTTTATTTCTTTATTTCTATGTCTCTCTTTATTTCATTCTGTCTCTTTATTTCTCTCTCTCTCTCTCTCTCTCTCTCTCTCTCTATCTCTCTCTCTTTCTTTCTCTCACACTCTCTCTTTCTCCCCTTCTTTCTCCCCCCTCTCCTCTCTCTCATCGTCTCCTCATCCTTCTTTCATCCGCTCCCTCCCCCCCCTCCCTCCTTTGCCTTGTGACTGTACTGACTCATACCCTCTTCTTCACCAGCTTAAGAGTCAGTCCCAGTTCTTTTCGCCCCATCATAAGGCTTATCTGAAACCAACCTCGTTTTTGCCCTTTGATTTTCTTTCCGCCGCAGCCGTTGCTTGCTTTGACCCACCCTGAGACCCACCCACCTATCCGCCCACCTCCCCACCTCCCCTTATCTTACCACCAGTTCCCTCTCCCCTGTCTCCCCCACCTCTCAACGCCACGCTTCCCTTCGACGCAAGCGCTCTCTCCTTCTCTCTCTCTCTCTCTCTCTCTCTCTCTCTCTCTATATATATATATATATATATATATATATATATATATATATATATATATATATATTTCTATCTCTCTGTCTCTCTCTCTCTCTCTCTCTCTCTCTCTCTCTCTCTCTCTCTCTCTCTCTCTCTCTCTCTCTCTCTCTCTCTCTCTCTCTCTCTCTCTCTCTCTCTCTCTCTCTCTCTCTCTCTCTCTCTCTCTCTCTCTCTCTCTCTCTCTCTTGCACTCGAGGTCCTCGTCTTGCAGTACGTGTGTGTCTGGTAACCTCGTGGGTTGGCTGGCTGGGCGAATGTGGTAGCCTACTGAGTCTTGATTTGTTTTTGTTTCTTTGTTTATGGAGTGGGTTTTAGGGTTTGTTTTTTTGAAATCCGCTGAATTATTCGTAGATTTTTTTTCAGTTTAAAGATGATTAAAATCGGCTTGTAAGGGAAGTGATCGGAGCTTCCGTGGTGTTGCTTGTTCAGGTTGTACATCTTAAATATGTTTTTCTTCCTTCCTTTATCTCTTTGTTTTGCTTGTATCTGAGGATTGTTTTTATTTTATGATGTATTGAAATACTTAAGAAAGCACTGAAGAATTTCGTTTAAAAATTTGTCATTGGATTTAAA